TTCAATCAGAAATTAAGAAAACAGCCGCCGCGAAAAATTGTCGCGCGAAAAACTTTGCACCCCGCCAGGCCAATCGCAAATGGGTAAATGGGTGAAATGGAAATGGAAATGGAAAATGGTAAATGGTAAATGAAAAGAAAATGGCATTAGACAATGAACGAGCCCAAGGAAACACAGGCCCCATTCTATGGCAATGCGGCACATTTCATCGCGTGTCGAAGACGCATTTGATGGCTCGACGACCCTTCAGACATTTCCGCAGACTTCGACATCGGCTGAATTCAACAGCAAGTGAATGAGGTCGAGTTTGCACAGCGTAAATTATTAGAGGCATACGAATATATTTTTCCAACAGATAAGTATGCTTCAAGTGCTCAATGCAAAGTGAAATTGGCTGGAATTTTGATTTTATCTATGTATGTTCGTATGATATATATTTAAATTAAAAAATATTCCACATTTTTTTTAGTTATACTAAAAGATATTACAGTTCATTGGAATAAGGACCAAGATACCAAGAGCGAATACTTTGAAGTTGATTCGATACATGGAATGGAATGGAGGAACTGAAATTTATTTATATCGGAACTATAAAAAGAAGAAATAATATTCTATTCTATATTATTACTATTATAAGGAGCAGATCTACCATAGCTGTATCCTCTAATTGTAGTACTTTTTCATTACATTTTCATATTCTTGTAGCCTTCATAATCAAATTTCCGTTTTCGCTGTGGATGTTTCGATGCTTGTCGATTTATTCAATTATTCCAGGTGAAATATATATGTTTTGAAATCAATTTTTTTTTTCAGCCGTTGTAATTTTGCGCTGATTGAAAAAATATGCGAAGCGTGCATAAATTTTTGCGACTGGCCAAATGCCACAAACTCAATTTACGATGAACAATCAATTTTGTATCGAACGATCGCAGGTTGACTCTTGGCCCCCATTCGTTAGAGTTGCCCAGCCCCAGTGGGATCCCACTAAGCAACAACACACAACACCCGCCACACACACATACACTCATACACTCTCTTGTAACACATTCACTTACATATTTCATTTTGTTTATTTGCATTCCGTCGCACGTTGCTTTGGCATTGCCCGACTTCAACTTCTTGACGTTACGTTAGAGTTTTGGTTCCCAGAGCTGGAATAGGAGCGGAGCGAAAAGCTGGCTGCGGAAATTGAAATTTGCGCTGGGCAAAGTGAAGGCGGATCGATTGCAGGCACTGATCAAAGTCAACAACTCGCAAAGCCTACTCAACTGCAGATACAAAAGATACAGATACATTGCTTGTGGCGTATCTTAAGCTCTCTCTCCCTGTCTCTCTTTCTCTATCTCTCTCGACTGCAACTTGCTGTTGCTGTTGGCAGTTGAGGCCTCGGTGCAATTTTTATTGTTGGCATTATTATCGTCACATGTCGCTCACTAATTGATTTTTCTTGTCGCCTGCCTCGTCGCTCGTTCGTTGCCTTTCGATCGACGCGCGGATCGTTGCTCGATCTGAATGATTGGCTGCAGTTGCTGTTGTTGTTGTTGCTGTTGTGGTTGCTATTGCCATAGCTGTTGTTGTTGTTGTTAATTTGGTTGCTGTTGTCGCAGTTGCTTGCAAATTTTGTGCGCACATGACACTTGCCGAGACAGGCAACATCAGCGCTGCCAGTGCTGCCAAATGTGTCAAAGTCGCGGTTGCATTAATAAATTTTACGCACATCACACGGGCCACTTCTACTATCTCTCTCACTCTCTCTTTTTCTGTCTCTGTCATTGGTAATTTCTCTGTCTCTTTGGACGACCTGGCTTCCAGCATCCGTTTGAGTTGACTATTGGACACAGTTCATAGAAACTTTAAATTAAATTAAATGAAAAGAAAAAGTCAATACATAAACAAATGCAATAAAAATTT